TCACCAAGCCATTTGTCTTTGGGGGCCATCTTTCTGATGTACTCCTGGATCTTAGTTGTTTCATCCTGGACAGTGGTCTTGACACTCACTAGCCCTTGGCCTCCCTCGCTACGCTTGGTGTACAGTCTCAGGGTGCTGGATTTGGGGTGGAACCCTCCATGCATCGTGAGGAGCTTTCTCGTCTTGATGTCAGTAGCCTCTAACTCCTCCTTTGGCCAGTTTATTATACCAGTGGGGTATCTGATGACTGGTAGGGCATATGTATATATATATATATATATATTTGTGGTAATATTCAAGTTTATCACCTATACATTTGAGGAGTTTATTGTGGCATAGTTTCTAGCATGATGTGCAGAAACTCATTTTGAAGATCGAATGGAAAATGGAAATTTGTATTAATGAGTTTAGGAACCTTGAGTTGTGAAAATATTACTAATACAACAACAGTGGCGTTGGATGTAGGAGTTTGCCCTGAAATCGAAGGATTGATGGTTCAAGCCCCGGCTCCGACTTTTCAGTGTTGTTGTATCCTTAGGCAAGACACTTCACCTGCACCATCTACTGATGCATTTTATAAAACATCCGGTATCATCTTGCATTTATCATAATATCGACAGGAGAAACTGAGTCTAACATACAAACAGATTATTCTTGTCTTGTAGAAACACATGTTAAATAAACAAAAAAAAAAAACCTGTTAATTAACATCAACTATAGATGATTTATGGGACAATATTTCTAAAACTTAAATAGTCTTTTTTTCTAAAAAAAGAAAAAAGATGTGACATTGTGAAGTTTTATACTATCTAAGTCAGGTGTGAGTAATTCCAAATATAGCATTTATGTGAAAGCTCTAGATGAATTTCCCTTTACTATGAATGTTTGTGACTTTATAATGTTATAATGACATTAAAGATGTTCTATTAAGAATGCAAATCCTTTTACGGTGATCCATAAATCACATTAAGAGTAAATTAATCAATAAAATCAAAAAACAAAAATGATTTAGAAACATAATTATATAATAGTAATGATATATTTTTTAATTTAAATGTAATAAGATATTTTCAGCACATAAAGCTGATTCTTTTACAGCTTTATGGGGAGTAAAGATATTTTGCAGTTAGGAGCAAAGTTTCTTCTGTTTTATGGCCTTTCATTTGCTCTGCTTCCTGCACTGTTTTTTTGATCATTCTATTACTGTTCCACCTAACAGAGAAATAACATGTAAGGTATCCTACTAAAGGTACCATTCCATCTGTCTTGCAGCAAGAAAAGGATGAACCATCCCCACACAGTGAAGGAGGCAGTGGATGATTCAGCACCCACTGATGAGGTGAAGCTTTTAACCATTATCCTGCTTAGATTCAAGTTATTTTAGGTTATGCACTTCCAAATAGTTAAATTCTTATATCCCCTTTTCATTTCCTCTCTAATCCGTGTATATGTAAAAATAGAAGCAGATGTGTGGCGTAACCATCTTTGTTGAAGCCTCGGGCAGGCCACACTGACAGTTGGGATAACGAGGGTGATTATGTTAATAATGGCATTACATCAGGCTGTATGAGTACATGTGTGATTGAGTCTATGTGAGCAGGCGAGGAAATGGTGTTTCTGGAGCTTGTGCTTCAGTTTGATTAGAAACTCCCAAAATTACCCTACTCCGCTCCCATAATGCCCTTTGCCTTTTTATCTCACCTCATCCTTTGTTTTTATACTTGTCCGATTTACCTTTTTTCACTGAGAGTTCTCTAAGAGTTTGTTCTTGTTGTTATGAAGTAAAATAAAGGATTTCAAACTGTCAGCCTTGGAAGATGCACTACAAATCTCACTCTGCAAGCTTTTAAAAGAATTCAGCCTGCAATTTCTGCACAAATCTCTTTTTCTTACAAACCAGCTCCTAATAGGTGTAGTGAATGATTTCACATCGTCTCTTATTTATGAGGGTTTCTTAAAAGTCTAGAAAACAATGAGGTTTGATTAAGGTGTTTTTCCAGGTCTGGATAATTGGGAAATTAAATCCATTTATCCAGCTATCCATTGACGGGCTATAAATTAATTAATTTCCTAAACCAGATATCCATCAAATCTATACATACAGTATTTATTACTCTGTCAGTCTGTCCATCCATGAATAAGAGAATATGAAAATACGTTTTTTTTTCTTAATTATAGAATATTAGATAATTTTAAGAACATAACATATTCTGAATGAAATTGCATTTATTAACATTTCAGCTAAAGAAAAATAATTGAAATTTGAAAAAAAAATTTTTTTTTTCCTTGGCTTATAAAATCTCATGTCTTGGTAAGAGGAAAACTCAGCAGACTACTGGCAGGGATTTTGATTTGTTTTATGGATGAGCAAGGAACATGTTTGATTTATTGCTCCTTGCTCATTTATCTGGTATTTACTTTTGCTTTATTAATACATTACTTCACCTAACATTACAATTGACTCCTCCAAATTTAAGAGTTTAACACCTTTAAAAGCAATTAATTCATTTTATTCATTTAGCCCAACTAAATTAATGTAATATTTTTTACAGTTCCAAGTAGATAGCTTGATTGTGATGTTATTTTTTATGATAGATTTATCTTTTTCTGGTGTTCTTTTTGCCTCTGATATTAAATGCTGTGAAACTAGAGGGAGTTTTACTGATATGTTTTTCCTTTTTGGACACTTTATATGATGCATAACAACCATGTTTACCCCTGGGAGCAGCTCATTAATATCTCTAAAGCTAAATTAATACTTCAACCACTTCCGCATGTATCCGTTGAGCTACAACGAAGAGCTGGGAATGCAGAGCAAGGAGAAGAGAAAGAAACAAGAAATTAAAGCCGTCTCTTCCATCAATCATTTTGGGCAATGTATGGTCTTAAAAAAACAGATTTGACTGTACTTCTTCAGCAAGATGCTGCTTACATCTAGAAGATGCTCTTCTATTAGTATGCTGAGGAGAGTATGATCTCTTCCTCCATAATCTGCTGGGGTAACAGTATTAGAGCTAATGGACTAGGGACTTCCCTAGAACCTCTGGAGTTGGTTTCATAAAGAAGAATTCTTCATAAAGTGAAGAACATTATGGACACCAGTGAGCATTCTCTTCAGAAAACTGTTTAGAGGCTGTAAGAGGCTCCTCCACGTCAAGTACAAGACAGACCGCTTTAGAAGATCTTTTCTACCTACAGCTATCAACACCTTTAAAACTTGTTGAAAAAATTGTACCGTAGTTACTGCAGCATTTAATATCTCTTTTAGATTAAGGACGTATTTTTGAATTCAACTGGGTTGAAGTCGATTTCATCATTTTGCTGCCTCTGCAGCAATCCCTCAATCTGGGCAAGTTTAGAGGTTTTGGTGTTGAAAGATACTTAAAATGAAAAAGAAATGATTTTTTAGATGTCATCCTTCCCCCTTTTTTTTTAGATTCCTACTTTTATCTATATATTGTACAAGATTGAGCTGTGCTGACTGATCATAAAGACCTCTTTAAGTTTATTAAAAGTTTGATTTCTTTTCTAGCCTCAGGCTGAACAGTGCACACCAGAGAAACAGAGGATGACCGGGAACCCCGGGATTCTAAAGCGACTGGTCAGGTGGGTCAAAGATGGGACAAAGAGAAAATATAAGAGAGAAAAATATCTATGAGAGAAATATATTCCTTTTTAAATAAACTACCAACATCAATTGCATCTGCTTGGCAGGAAACACTCAAGCTGTAAAGTTAGAAGAGTCTTTTTCAGTAACTAATTGATAAAACCACCCAGGGCTGAGGTCATCTCCTCAGTATTCAGTGTGTGGTAAAGGAGACACAGCACAAAGCCCTGAACCCACAACCATATATCATATTAGGACAAAAACTAAAAAAAAAGGCAAGGCTGAACTCCGCACTCAGATGATGATTATGTCACCAGGTTTTATTGACTGTCAGGCCCAGAGCTAAAACAAGAGCTGAGCTGTACTGTAAGTGTTCAAGAAAGAGGTTTTTAGAGATTACACAGCGTTGGGGAAATCCAGCTATTATCTGCACAGACTTTTTAATATTCTTCTGTCAAGTGTGGTGAGAACCGTGCCAGATGTCCTCAGGCACATTAAGGATTGACAAGCCCATGTATAGTGTAAGCTTGTGTTTCATGCTTAGAGGCATATGCAGTAGCTGCCATATGAAATGAACTTTTTGTGTTCTTTGTCTTTCTTTTTGCAGAAACATCCTCCCATTCATCTTCAGACCTCCTGAGAATTAAGACTTTTAGGGATGTTTTTAGTGACTGTTATAGTGATTGGTTCAGATGAAATTCATTCTTGGATATCCAAATAAAATAAAGAATTCATTACAATGAGTACAAGTTGCAAAATAGGCAAAGTTTTATTGATAGAAGGAATATAGTGCATTGTTTTTCATTTAATTTAGCATTTCCAACAGTCTCACTTTCATTTATAGATATTATTTACAGTTGGTAGTTTAAGTTCAGATCCCTAATAATAAATACATTTTGTACATTCTTTTGGTCTCCTCTTGTGTTATTGCAAAATGTTTGATCATTATTCATTCACATTTTCTGTGATTTGTACCGATTTTATTTTCCAAGACAGCTGAGAGTTTGGTGAATAACCAAGTAAAAAACTTAACGATTAATACAGATTCTCTGATTTGCATTTTGTATCTCCCTGTTATTCTCGGCTCTAAAAATATATATATTTTAAGGAAAAGTTTGTTGGCATAATATGAACAGCAAATGACAGTGAAACAAGAATCCTATTATCAATAAAAAAAAAAACTTTAAATCTATCCACAGTTGATTTCAGAGTTTAGTCAAAAGATTTTAAACACCAATCAAAGAAGGCTGCAGTCCTGCAAAGTCAGCATTTCTGAAACAGATATTCAGACATCAGTAGGACTTTAGACAACCATCCTTCATGCTGAGCAGGTAATGAGCCATCTGAGACAGGTGTGTTTCATCAGGGCCAAACGTAATGGCTGAGGGACACCAGTCCTCTGGAAATGGAGATTAACACCCTCTTATTGATGATTAAAATGATTGAAGTTATATAGAAATGAGGCAAATGGACAGAAGTTGAAAAAAGCTGTAGTGTTTTTGTGTTTTTTTTCTATCTCTGTAAACTATAATCTTTTCATCCTGCAAATCATATTTGCTGCATTTTGTCCTGAAGCGATAAAAAGTCAGTAGCGTGATTTGCGGCACATGTCACATCGACATGCCTTTGCCGTCAGGATCTCGATTTCGTCGTAGTGCAGACCTCGTGGGCAGTCCAGTCGAACTTTGACCTGGAAAAAAAGCAGAATATCCACTTGATGAAATGAGCCAAACTCCAGTCCACAAATGGCTGCCTTTAGCAGTACTTAAAATATATTTGCAAGTTTAATAAAAATATATTTATTAACTAGTAAAAGCCAAAGAAAGTTAGATCAATCAAACTAGATGCCACAGCAAATCATAGCTCAGTAATGAGAAATAGTGGTCTTTAAAAATATGTGCTCTTTTAAAAAAACATCTTAATCTAGGACTCTAGTTATATAAAAGATGTGTGATTTTTATTCACTAAACTGCTATTAGCTGTACTTAATCTTTAAATCTGTAAATCCTCTATTGAAAAAAGAGAAGATAAAAGAATAAAAAGTCTGACAATTTATCCATATTTTATGAAGTTTTTAAACATCATTAATCCTATTTATCATTTAGGTCAGGCATCCCCAACCTCGGTCGTCGAGGCCCGCTGTCTTGCAGGTTTTAGAGGTGTCCTTGCCAACAGCACAGCTGATTTTAATTGAAAGCTGATTAACAGGCTTTTGCTCTCCCCAATCATTTTAATCAGCTGTGCTAAAGCAGGGAAACCTCTAAAACCTGCAGGACAGCGGCCCTTGAGGACCGACTTTGGGGATGCCTGATTTAGGTGAATCCAAATTCGTAAAGGTACATTGTGTAATAATTAAAGGGATTTACTGACATGAGTGGTATATATATAATCTATACAGTATGTTTGTTTTTTATTTATTTAATTGAATGTTTCAATCTTTATGTTTGCCTTGCCATAGAAATTGCTTTATAATTACATAAGAGTCGGTTCAGATTTGTGGAGGCAGACATCTTTTGTGCCACGGCAGCCCAGAGCTGACAAACTAGTGACTGTAGAGATCACTATAATTCTTAAATGTGACTGCAGCATGTTGGCCTATGTACAATCCTGCACAGACTAATAAAATATGGTTTATAATATTATCTATGTAAACTAGACTAGCGGTTGAGATCCTTTGGAGTGAGCAGACTCCTGCTTAAAACCTTCCATGACTCTGCGGTGGCATCAGTCTTCATCTACGCTGTCGTCTGCCGGGCCCCTGGCAGCGCAGAGTGGGACATAAAGAGATTGAACAAACTAGTGACAAAGACCACTTCTGTCCTAGGCTGCACCCTGGACTCAGTGGAGGAAGTGGCTGAGTGGCTTACATCCATCATGGACAACACCTTCAGTCCTCGGCACCAGACTGTAGAGGAGCTGAGTAGCTCCTTTAGTGAAAGACTCTACAATGCGGCAATACAACAGCAATAACTAGTGCAATGTATAATGTGCAATGTACTGTTTCATACCCTGTGCAATCACCTGTTTCTCTATATTTGAAACCAATTGCAATAACTATAAATATAAATATCCCTATCCTCGGCCGGGAATCAGTGACTGTGTCGGAATGTCTGCCCTAATCACTATAATGGGCACTAGAGACTGACATTTTTTCGGGAATCCCACGGGTCACGGGATTCCCGTTGGATGGGAGTCAGTATTAGTAACGATCACGTGATTGGGACGGTACAGGATTAAACATTAACGGGAGCAGGAGCAGGAGCAAACCGATAATAACTAAAAAAAAAACTAGGATTGATGCCAAAAAATACAATAAAATAGAAAGAAAAAAAAATCCAGTACTGGCGCAGCCATTTTGTAGTTTTTTTCCTTGAAGCCTACAGTACACTATACAGTAATGCGAGTCAAAAAAACTACACGACCAAAAAACCAACAGTGTTTCCGCTCTGAGTTTTTCACCCGCGCTCAAAAACAACAATGGAGGGACCAACAGTTACAGTAGTGGCAAACTCGACTTCAAAAAGTTTGATTTGCAACTCAAGCTGAATGAGAGTGGTGCAGGAGCGGGAGTCATTCTGAATGGGAGCGGGATGGGAGTGGGAGTAATTTCACCAGGAGTGGGACGGGACAGGATTTAGATTTCTACTCTGGCCCGGGATCGGGACGGGACACCATTTTTTTCTGTGGGAGTGGGACGGGACAGGAGTGAAAATCCACTCCCGTGTCAGTCTCTATTGGGCACTATATAGTGATTAAACTATGTTAAATGAGTGTCCGAACATCTAGAGGATGAGAGAGTAGTGAACTTGAAATTTCCCACAATGTTCCTTGAAAAGTAGTGATCATCCATGGTCCCTAGATGAGCAGATGTATCCCGGAATGCTTTGCGAGACCACTCCTCGCAAAGCATTATGGGATTTCTTGTCACAGCAGCCGACAGTAGCTACCCGACAGCAGTGACAAATAAAAAAGATGGCGTAGACACCATGCAGGGAGGCTGAGTCACATGACTAATGGGGAACGATAAGTAGTCATCATCTGTCTGAAAGGTAAGTTAACTGAGTTTGCTAAAAAATCCACTCTATAGTCCCGTTTATATATGACTGAGGGATTTAAGGGTTAGGGTGGGCGATTGGACACAGCAAAGCAGAGTGGTGGAAGATCAGATTTGTCCGCCGGGCAGAGAAAGGTCACAATGCAGGATAGAGTTGCTATGGCTTAAAGAGAGGAGGATTGTGTGCCATCGAAGTATAACAGTCTTCTGAGGAGCCGCTGCAGCTCACACTGTACCACTGTAATTTTGATGTGTCTATATGATAAAGTAGGGTTAATAATGTTTTAAAAAATTAATTCAATATGGCTGAATTCTCCAAGTATTTATTCTTTTATCTTCTCTTTTCAATAAAGCATTAACAAATTCAAAGCGTGGGATTAAGTGCAGCTAAGAGCAGTTTGGTGATAAAATCACACTTTTTTATGTAACTGAAGNGTGGGATTAAGTGCAGCTAAGAGCAGTTTGGTGATAAAATCACACTTTTTTATGTAACTGAAGTCCTAGAGGCTCTCCGAACACTTAAATTAGATACTAACATATATTTTTTTAACCTATAAAACCTATATGTATGTCAGCTATTAACTATTTACCGAAGTGGTACATGTTCTAACAACTTCAGAAATCACTTATCTAGACTAAATAGGTGTCAATAAAACAATTCCTCACCTTGGCATCCTTGCTGATGGTGCAACAGCGTGATGCAGAGGTGATGTTGTGCGTGAAGTTTGACGCCACCAGAACGGAGTATCTGGATGGGAAAGCACTGGACTCACAGTAGCCCACGCAGGCGTACACCAGATGGGTGCCTTTACAAGTTCCCCGACGGTCACTGCGGATGGTCACGTTGATGGCTGGAAGACATGACAAACAGGATGTGTAACTGGCATGGGGGTTTCCTTATTGGATTTACTCTGACATTTGTAAATAATGATTTTTGAGATGTTGCATAAAATCTGAAAAAATACAGAAATGATAAAGTAAAAAAAGACAACTCGTAGTATTGCTGCAAATTTCAGCTTAATTTACATCACAAGCAAGTGAAAATATCAGAATATAGAAAAAAAATCACATATAATCATATAAAAAAAATTCTTAAAATGCCTTTACATTGCATTATTTAAATTAGTGGAGCAAAACCTGGTCTCTGTAAACATATTTCTGTGGGTGGTTCTATTAATATATCAATTAATGTTTACAATTAGCAACAGTGTGATTGAATAAACTATAGGTGGGCACATTTGTTGAAAGCGTGTCTACCTGATGAAGTGTGGCTGGACACCATTCTGGATCAGTAGTGCAAGAAAATAATATTTTCATCAGAGCCCAGCTGTGGGTGAATAAAGCTTAATGTAGTTGCTAAAGAATAATCATGGTACATAAAAAAACCTCTTTGTACAGAAAACTCAATATGAGCCTGAATTCTAATTTTCAGTTTTCAGATCACTGAATCTAGATGCTAAGGAAACCCATTAAATGAAATTGTTTTAGAAACTGTTCTCAAATCAAATTTGGAATTAAATGGGGAAAATAAATAACATTTAGTACTTTGCTGCAGGCCTGCATGTCCAATAGGTTGCGTTTCTGTATTTTTAAAGGTCTAATTTCATCATAAACTGCCATGTTCGCTGGCTTGTCATTCAGCTCTTGTGGGTTTTTTACCTCCAAAACAAACAGCTTGAGGTTTTCTGCCCTTGCTCTAACTGGATGCTTCACTTTTATTAATATGTCACTTTTTTGTCTGTTTTTTTTTGACCAAGCAGACATTTAACATCCACCATCTTATGCCATTCTCTCAATTAACTTTCTGGAAAGAGTAAGATAAGTTTTTCCCATTTGGATGTGAAGATATTTATGAATATGATTAGAATAGAATTAATTTACAAGCAGCTTTTTTAATACTTAGCAGTACTTTACAAATAATAAAAAAAATATTTTCTTGTTTCTATTCTATAGAATAACATTTTTTAACTTTTACTCTTGTTCTGAAAAAAGCAATTTTAAGTATTTAGCAGTTTTATTCCATCCATCCATGCATCCATCCATCCATCCGTCCGTCCGTCCATCCATCCATCAATCCATCAACCCATCCATCCGTCCGTCCGTCCGTCCGTCCGTCCATCCATCCATCCATCCATCCATCCATCTTCTGCTTATTCTGTCAGGGTTACGGTTAGTTCAGTCAAATATCCTGCAGTCAATGGGCGAAAGGTAGGGCACACCCTGGACAAATCGCCAGTCTGATGCAGGACAAGTTTTTTTTTTTCTTAAGTTTTTTAATTCCTTAATCAATAATGTTATAGTGTACCAAGGGTCCAGCCTCTTCAAAACCTTTTTTTTTTTTTTTTTTTCTTCAAAGTAAACTTCAACATCTTCTGTAGGGGCCTAAATTCAGTTTAAGTTAAGTTAAAAAGAAATCATGAATAAGTTACAGTACATATCAGAAAGTAAAAGGTTCTTATATTCAATGTTTCTAATTGTACTGAGGTTCTTTTGCAAATCTGCACAGTTTTGTTTCTGGATGTTGAGGGGAATGGCTTCTGCTTCAGTGTTAGTCAGGTAATTGGAGTGGAGCCACACAGTTTTTTGACCTAATTTATTTTTCTCCTTATCTACTTTTATTATTTCATTTTTTATGGGAATATAATATCTGTATTGTTTTTTTATTTTTGAAGTAAATGGTTAAATCTAATGGAGAAGATTTCATTTGTTGTTTTGTTTGTTTTTTGCCATCAAGCGGGTTACAGAGGGGAAAAGAGCGTCAAGCTTATGGCTTCATTACTTAGGAAACTACATCTTCCTTGAACTGGGTTGCAGAGATGTTGATTTTGTGTTTAATGTTAACCAGCCACCTTTATAAGTGAAGACTTAGGAGTTATCTTCTGAACTTCACTACTCATTGACATAATGAGACTTCTGCACGTCTGCATTTATTTAAGAGTTTCTTCCTTAACAGCAAGTTGTTTAACAAATTTCTACATTTTTTTGGAACAAAGTAGATTTTATTTTTTCTGGATGTCTTGTTCTTTCTGATTGAAACTCACGATATAGGTGACATCCTGGGGTTTGTCCCTCTTTGCTCCATCCAAGAGGAGAAAATAGCAGCAGCAGTGACATCAGGGCCAGTAGACAGATGTGTAGGACGCTCTGCGACATCTGTGCGGATCAAACAAAACAGGATGTTAGATTCTGCTAGAGTCCCATAAGTAATTACGAAGCTTCTACTTGAAAAAGTTAATTTTTAAACTTTTGATTTCTTTATTCTTAATAGGTGGAAGCCTTTCTTAATTGATAAAATAAACTGTTTTCTTTTCTAGGCTGAAAAATAAACAGTCTCATCCTGGTCTGCTCCATTTCTCCTCAAATCAAAATCCCCCTGCCCTGCATGTATTAATCTGAGGTGATTTCCCCTCCTGCAGGACTGCCTGAATAATAACAGTCCTGTCTGAGTCTTTCCAGTCTGCCTCATCGAACAGTTACCTGCAGTTACATGCACACATACAACTTCCTCATGCACAGCACCTCTGTGAACAGTAAGCATCGCATTATATCAACAATAGTACAATGAAAATATTTGCTTTATCTTAAGTCACTCTTTATGTGCAGAATTATACGTCAAGTGAAGCCCGACTCCACCTGACTCACACACTTCCACAACTGTGCAAACAAAGCAAAATTTTTCCTGGTAATTTGGTGATCCTGACCTCTGCCCTCTATTTTGGAAGCTTTTTCCAAATTTGTGCATCAGCTGTGTGGCACCAGCAGCAGAAACACCCCCACTGGGAATCAATTAGTACTGTAGGGAACAATCAGAGTACCACTTCACCTCTGGGGATGTGAATCTGTGCGCTAGGCTCTTTGTGAGCTGATGGGGAAATGTCCAATTTTTGCTCCTATGTCGGAGTTTCCACCTCTGAAGGTTTGTTTTTCATTAAAGGGTGACAGAACCCTCTCTCTGTCAGAGGTAATTATCTTTAAATGTTCAAATTAATTTAGTGCAATGAATTCTCTATGAAAATAGTTCAAGTTTGCACAACAAAATAGCACTCTTTTAAATTCCAAATTTGTTATGCCACTCTTAGGATTTATATTTTTAAGGATGTAGATTGTTAACTAAATGGAAAATGTTTAGTTAACAATTTAAGTTACAACCAAAAGTTTCAGTGTGTGTTATTGAAAGTGGTGCACAAATGTGAATTGAGAGGAAATGATGCTCGGCCCTACAAAAATCACTGCATCCCCTATTTTGTAGTCAGGCCATTTTACTGCAGTACTCATCTCATCAATCCAGGTGGAACTGACTGCCTTTAGTTGCCACCTGATTACTAAGTTTCCTTCTTGTGTGTAATTTGGCATTGGTGTAAATCCAGCTGTTCTGAGAAGCCCTTGGAGAACATTGGTGACCAACACCCATCATGAGGACCAAGGAACATAGCAGACAGCTCCTAGAGTTCACAGCAGAGTTAGGTTATGAAAAAAAGATCTGATTGGTCCATCATCTGAAGATAGATTGCTAATCTTTTTAGATGTGTCCATCCCACTAATCAGAAAGGCTAAATAGCAAAGCATCCAAGTCTCCCATGCTGATTCTGGAGGGGTTGCAGATACCTACAATCAGTATGAGAGTATGGAGCTAAATAAGGGCCATAAAGCTTGTTTGAGAAAAAAAATATATATATTTCAAACTACTTGTCTGCAATTTTGGAAGTCCGCCTTATAAATCAATTAAGCCAATTGTAAAGCAAGTGGATTCAGATGAAAGAGACGCATCATAAAAGACTTATAGCTGTAACAGCAGTGATAGACAGCATTTAAAAGAATTAACTCAGAGGGACCATATCAAATGCAAGCCCTACTTTTCAGATTCTTTTAGTTGTTGCTTGTAAACATAATAGAAAACCATTCATTATCATATCACAAATACGTACTCCTCTGTGTTGGTCTGTCACATAAAATAAACTAACAGTTAAGTTTACTAATAATTAAATTATTCACTTGTGCAGGGACCTTTGTATCTCTCATACCAAATAGCTGCTAGTTAATTAGATTCACATGATTTTTTTTTCCCCCAAATGGAATAGCTCCATGTTAAATTTACACCAAGCCAAGTTTTAGTTCAGAATTTTTTTAAATGCAATTTGTTGTTTTGTTAAAAAAAATATGAACTAATGCCTTTCAAAATAAAAATACAGAATATGCAAAACACTGATCTCAAGATGAATCTGATTGGTGTAACCATGATTTTAAAGTTCCAAAGTTAATATGAAGATTAAGAAAAATATGTTGGAGCCTTTTTAGTTAAATGCTGTTTACAGAAAAAATTCCTTTTTATCTCTTGAAGAAGAACAAGGATAAAAAGATTATAAGTCATTTTCCATAATTACATAGATGATGTAATGAAACTGATTCTTACCTGGACAGCTGAGAGTTGTGAAGTTTAGGTGAGTTGTCTAACAGCTGTCCTAAGCACCATACAGGGATATAAGTAACGCAGGTAGAAGTGATGGCACTTAAAGCCCTTGGCACACCCACAATTACAAAGATAAGTTTTGTGGGATTCCCCCTCACCTCAACCGACTTATCGTCCTCCTCCTCTGAAGATTATCTTCCTACCTGCACAACCAAATATTACAATAATATCCTACTTTTTAACCTCCGTCTCTAACTTTTTGCTTCTTGTTCCTGATATTCCCTCCTTGTCCGCTGGTTTTAAACCTTTTCAGGGGAAGCGTACTGCAGTGACACAGAGGAAAACTAAATTGGTTTTTCCATCAAAGCAGAACACACACACATACAGTCAGCTTTACCATACCACCTTCACAGAGAGAGTCTCAAATGTAAAAACACACATTTATGTACAAAAAAAAATCACATTAGGATAAAGTTTGGACCTCAGGAGTTGGTTGATGATTAGATAACTGGTGTATAACCCCCCCAAAAAAGCATAGGCAAGGCACTGCTGGATTTTCCCTCTGCTGCAGCAGCAGGAAGGACAGGGTCGGGTCAGAAGATCCTGCGGGTTTGGATCAGCTGTGTGTCTGTTCAACACATGGTGGGTATATTGTGGTGAAGTGTTGGCTCTGTGTCATCCTAGCAACAATACTTACCAAACCCCACATACTCTTATAGATTCTGCAGAGGTGCACCAGTGGTGACTTACAGTAAGCTCTCCAGAAAACAGTTTTATACTATAACTTTTAACATAGATATGTTTTAAATTTTGCAAAACCTCAGATACATGATGAAAATTGTATAGTTTTATAATATATTTTGTGCAACTTGAGCTGCTGGCATTTCTGAAAGTAGAATGTTTTTTAGGCACTCATGAATTGGGTGCAGAAAGCTAAAAAGCTACCAATGGGTGTCACAGACATGGTTTTTTTTAATGGTTTTCAAAAAATCTAAAATTGAATAAATTATATTGTAAGGCTTTCAAAGTTTGAAATATATTCAAGTTTTCTTGCATTCTAGCTAATTCATAAAATTGTATTCATTCATAGATAATGTATTATATTATATATTATTATGAATAACATATTATTTTATTCATTCATAAATAACATTTCAAAACATATTAAACAGTGAGGCAACTGCAATAAAAAATTAACCTTAGACATTCTCCCTCCTCACAATTTTTTTTTATTTATTTATTTTGTTTTATTATTTTTTTAATTCCAAGTATGTCATCTTAAAAAGGTACATGTGTCCAGGAAATATGTAATACAATTAATTTAGCTAAAAAAGAAGTGGGAAGAAGAAATCATATTAAATCCCATCTCTGTCTTCAATTATGCTATAACTTTATTGATTATCATAACTTCCTATCTGTTTAACTGAAAGAGAAGGGAAAAAAATGAATAAAAACAAAAATAAGATTTAAATAAATTCTGCTCCTTATTATAATATTTTGCTACATAATTAGAATCCTAACAATTTCTTTTTAATGTAATATTTAGGTAAAACCTGTTACCGGTAACTCACCGGCCTGTTTTATTAGTTACATTTGTTCAGTGTCTTAGCATAAAAAGGTCAGTATTCAAGCACAGCTTAGCTGCTAAATGCATTTAAGCACCTAGATGTGTAAAATCCAACTTGTAGAAGTTTAAACTGAGAGTCAAAAATGGGAATAAAGTGGATTTCAGCGGCATCATCTAGTTTGTTGTTACTGGTGCCAGATAGGCTTCACAGGGTATATCGAAAACGATGATCTAGCTGGATTTCCAGCAAAATTGTCCCCTGGATTTTTAGAGAATAGTTTGAAGAAAAGAAAACATCAAGTGAGCGGCAGTTGTTTAGATGAATAGGAGAGTAGACAGACTGGTTTACACGGGAAGAGAAATGCAGTGCTCATAATCATAATTTTCATAACCAAAGAATGCAGAATACCAATTATGGTAATTTATTTGGTAAAGACAAAAAAATAATTTTTGTATTTCACATGTATCCTAGTAACCTTGGCTTGTTTGCAAAGCTTGTCCCTTGTCGCAGAGACTACACCAGCTGCCTTTCAACAGAGAATAACAAATTGAGTCTATAATTCTCAAAATTGGACCAAAACCGACTGAGAAATTCAGCTGGTTTTTATATTTCACTTCCCAGCAGCCTGGGGCTGCACAGTGATGCAGTGGGTAGCACTGCTGCTTGCTGCATGAAGTTTGCATATTCTCCCTAGCATGCATGGGTTCTCTCCAGGTACTCCAGCTTCTTCCCCCAGTCCTAAAACATGACTGGTAGGTTATTTGGCTTCTCTAAGTTATCCTTAGGTGTGAGTGCATGTCTATGTTGCCCGGCAACAGACTGGCAACCTATCCAGGGTGCACCTCGCCTCTCGCCCATAGACTGCAGGAGATAGGTACTGACCCACTGTGGAGAAAATGGATGGACTGGTGGACTTCACAGCAGCCAGTTTTAACTTTTTTGAAGATTTAGCTTGTTCGGGTTTACTGCATGCTTGCATGCTTTAATGACCCTGTCCAAAGGATTGATTTCTTTAAGATCCATGGCCATAAGGAGTGAATCATGGCTGAAAAAAATCTGCCTAATTTGAAAGACATGTTTTCTTGTTTTTCCTAAGTAATCCAGGGATCACATTAGAAAGTCTGGAGAGAAATATGTTTCTTTTGTTTAGATCTTAATCTTTATCTGTTAAACATGGTTCTACAGTGGCGTCTGGTGCAGGTGTTTGCCCTGCGATTGGAGGGTTGTCGGTTCGAGCTCTGACTTTCAGTGTCGTTGTGTCCACGTCAACTAGTTGGGGGTGGTGGCAGTGTAGGGCAGCCTTGCTGCTGTCAGTGAGGCTACAATGTAGCTTGTCACTATCAGTGTTTAAGTGTGTGTGAATGACTGAATGTAGTGTAAAGCACTTTGGTCAAGTCCTCCAAATTGGAAAAGTGCTATATAAGTACAGGCCATCTGCACCAGTTCAGGTCTCCAGCTGGTTCAGCCTCAACATTTACATAAAATTTAGTCAGAAGAAACCTGATGGTAACATTAATGATTACTTTAATACTAAGCCAGCCGGGGCTATACTGTTATTTCTTTCCAAACATCCTGGAAAGAAACACAATCACCTTACTGCCCCAAACATCAGTCTGATGGAAAGAGGAATGTGTGACACCATCCTCTCTCCATACACTCAAAGACGACGCTTTTGGCGTGCCGATGGTGGGTTACACATACAGTCACAGATTCTACGGTTTCCCACCGGCGAAGACAAGCCGAGACGATGGATCTGAATGAGCTGCAGCACCTAATCAACAGAGACACACACACCAGTTGACTCCATAGTGACTCAGCGAGGTCACTGGTGTTTGTGTCGCTCCTAGACTCTGCCGCATTTGGTTTTCATGGAAACCACTACATCTGAAGGAAGTCGTTAATGTGTCCACTTCCACCTCAGAGTTATTAGAGTAGCCTGTGTGAGTGTGGCTTACATCATATCCGTCTGCTTGTCATGCAGTGTGTGTTGAGTGTATATCTGTCACGTGTGTTTGTGTAATATTGGGCATACTGACAAAGTAAACAAAAGACTGGACAAAGTTTTCCTGTTTCTAAAATGACCTCCTTGTCTAAAACCACTTTTGTGTGGACGAATCATGTCTTCAACATTTCGCTTTTTTTTTTATTAATACACCTTGATAGCTTGCTTAAATTCTACATAAACATTTATGTGAAACTTTGTTCATGTAATTTGTAACCCCTTTATTAAGTACTTTAGATCTAATGGGAATTTACATCTCTCCGGTCTTGTTGATGTCATAGGAGAATTAGGAGACTGTTTTGAGATGATCAAATTAGGACTTGTTAGAATAAAATGTATGCTGAATACCATCTCAGAAGGTAGAATGCATCAGAACTTGGGGTCAATCCGTTAATTTCAAATAGATTCCTCTTGTTTTCACAGGAACAATGCAAACATAATGCCAAAACAAAGCATGTCACCGAGGTTCTGCTTATAAAATGGTAGCTAATGACAATTTTTCAACTCCTGCCCCTGTTTGGAATTTTATGCAAAATAAAATGTACTTATTACAACACTACCGTTTAAAACATAAACATGATCAATTTGTAATTCATCCATATCATACACAACTCAATATAAAATAAGTAAACTTTTGGTTTGTCTTTAACCACTTTTCTTTTTTTAAATGCCTGAAAAAGAACATTTTAAAATTAGATACGGTTTTGATGTCAGATGGTAATTAGTCCTAGAGCCTAGAACCCTTAACATAGAAGGCTATCTTTCAGAAAATGGTCTTGCAGCATTTTATTTTAGAGTGATGATTTGATGAGCTTCTAATAAAACGAAGGCTGCTTTGTCTCTCATTAAATGTACTTAGTGGCTTAGGTGCTAAATGAAAAATTAATTTGTGAATTCATTTAAGAAAGCAAAAGTTGCTAAAGCTATCAAAAAAGCTATTTTCCTAAGAAAATTCAGCTAAAGACGACTACAAGCGCATAATATACTAATTCTGTGAGCTTTGACAGTATAATTCACAAAGTCTCCCTTAAGAATTAAATGTTTAAAATGTTGAAAGATTCAATAAGTTCCTATGTCATCTGCAGTATTTACATTATGTGTTCAGAATTTGGTGTAAAACACCAAAGCATTGATTGATCCTGTATTGTTTATCCACCCATTATAAAGGGCTGGACCTGGGAAAAAGAGAGGAGGAGATTCACACCATGGCTGTACAGCCAACAAATCTGCATCAAATTTTATCTTGTCAACAAGAATGTGTCCTACACCTTGCTGAATTTGCACCAAGAAGAATTGAGGCTGTTTTGTAGTATCCATTGGTGTGGTGTGGCATGTAATTGAAGACAGAATAATGTACCAGGACTTTATACACATGAGTTAGTCCCAGTAAATGACCAAGTCAGCTCTTTTTACACTTAACCTGACAACGGTGGAATGGATGTACCTATTATGACCTGCAAGTAGCAGTTCGTCAAAGGAAATAGCTTTAACTGATTAGGCCAACCTCTAAAGAACTCCATAAGTTTTTGGGTATCTAGTTTAGCAGTGTGGCTAATTTCTAGGCAAGTGAGAATCTCCAAAAGATCAGCTGAGGGTCTTTGTGACTAGTCTCTGACATTATTGCTGCATATCACCACGTTGTGTGACGATGGCCGTACTGTGGTAGCTAACCAGTTAAAAAAGCAGGTTTATTGTGGTGGATGGCAGCGGGTGTGCTGCAGCTTAAGCTGTGCATACACTGTACATTTTTTTTTGCCCTTTTCGGGCTGATTCTCCAGTTGTTGAGAATTCTTCAATTGGGCCAACTTTCAGCCTGATCGTGCGTTGTGTAGTGTACAGGGGGTAACGAGGGGCGATCAGCCTCTTACAACCACCTCCCGATCAGAAATCGTAAGGTCGGGAGAAAATCAAACATGTTTGAAATTCAGTCAGCGCACAAACAAGGACTTTTCTTCTTCTACCTCTCAGACAAAAAAATTGACACCCCGTAGTAGCCATGTTTGCTCAGCTGTGTCTTTGTCTAAATTGGTCGCATCAGAGCATCGGGTCGCACAGTGTAAGAACATACATCGTGAGCTGTGAGCTCACACACTGTACGACAAAATCCTGTGGTTTTGTTGTACAGTGTGTGATTTGAAGCTGTGTGCAATGACTAAAAAAATTGTACAGTGTATGCCTGGCTTTACTTTAGGGCTTGTCAGAGCTGACTATTGTTCAGCCAAGAATTCATGTAATTGCTGACAACCTAAAAAAAAAACCATCAAATCCCATTCATGTGAATAAGATCATCACAAAACAACAAATAAACCTGAAGCTGAAATGTCAGATGTCAGCTTCTGTTCTCTGACTGCAACTATCATTACACTTCTTTACTCTAATTTGCACTACTTCCTCCTTAGACTTTGAGGCTTATTAAAAATGTGTCGTTTTCCCTGTAGTAGTCTGTGGTCCCGAAAAGCTGCAGTTGTCTTGTCATAAATGCCAGAGTTCTTCAAATATAGCAGAGTTCTGAACAGTTCCTGAAAGCTGGAGCATTATTTCACTCCCTGTGTCCCACAAAGAGGAGTGCTTTTATTTATTGGTCCAACCAGTTTCCAGCCATCATTAAAAATGTGCCTGCTTGCTTGATAAAATATTTTAGTAAAGTGGCCAGCCTGTTTTGCAGTGATGCTGTATTTGCTGATGTTAACACCATGTAACAGGCGTAAGGACTGGTGTTTGGTAAAATGTGTCTTGGTCTTGGTTCTGTTGTTCTTTACTTTGCTCCTTGTTTTCTAGTTTTATTGGTTTAATTACAGTTTTGTTGTAATTTCTAGATTTATATTAGTTCTCATGTTTTTCTGTTGTCCTCTATTGCCCTCTTGTGTGTGTGTTCCTTTCCCCTTGGCTCCCTCGTTGCCCCCCCTCACACCTGCTCCTTGTCTGCTCGTTAGCCCTCCCTTTGTCTCTCTCTGCTATATATGCTCTCCCTCTGCTCTCACTCTTTGTTGGTTCCTTGTCGTCGCTGTCCTCCAATGCTGTTGTCCACGTTCCTTGTCTCTCCCTGGCTCCTCGTGTTTGGTTTCCCCAGATGTCTCCATAGTTCTGGTTTGTTTTTGATTATTAGTTGGATTTTTGCATTCCTGCCTTTGTTACTGCTTTTGCCCCATTAAACTCCCAAGAAATCTCCTCAACCTCTCTGCCTCTGCATTTGGGTCCAAAACCACAACTAACCCTGACAAAAATGTCACTTTAATTATGTCATCTAACACAAAAATGCATGCCTTAATACCTTTTTGACACTAGATCAATTCCAGTAAATTAGCAGGTATGATACTAGGTCTTGATATGGTAAATGGGTGGGTCACTTTTACCTGGTAAATCAGTTCTGCCTTTATTCACACATAACTCTGACCAAGTAAACGGCCAGTAAATTACTGGATAATGTCTTTAGTGTGAAATGGGCTTAATTAACTAGAGCACAGCTAAACAGAAGAAAATCAAGGGTAGTAGCTAACAGAAAACTATTGAACTATACCCCTACATGTGCTAAAAACACTAAACTGGGTAGTTAAACAGACCAGAATGAACTAATATGGAGAAGAACAATGACATGGCCAGAAATATAAACCTTCATTAAAAAAAAAACCTTATGGCAAGATTAACAACAGAGTACAACAAGATTGGTATGAACATAATAAAACAGAATGGAAAACCCTAAAAATACATAAAAGAAAACCAAAACATCTGAGGATTGTAAAACTCTAAAATGGAGTGGCTAAGCAAAGTGAAAGGTTTTCACACAGAGGAGTAGAATTATAACATTTCTCCACGGTATTAAAATGTTAATGTAATTATTTAAATTTTATGCCCTCAACTTCAAAATCTAAACTTTCAAAGTCTAAAATATTTAGATTTTCCATGCTACTATTTGATGTCATGATTTGCACAGTGGATCTGAAAATTAGGTTTCAGGCTAGTGAAAAAAAATAGTAATTTTGAAGCAGAAAACTTTTTACAGACTTTTCACTCAGAACCTTATATTTTAATTAGTCAATAATACAAACACCAGCTCACAGAATATAATCATATTGATGCAAAACAAAAAATATACTTTATTACCAAAGGCACTGAGCTTATTTAATGAATACATCATGCTTGAGCTGGTACTGATTGCTGTTTGTTATAGAAATTTGAGTACACACTACTTTCAGTATACATATGCAACAACTAATTGTGCGTCTTAAAAACTCCCTGTAATCTTATTCAGTTTATTTATATCAACAGAAGAGAAAGCTGTCTTCTTTCAAAAGGTCTGACACTCTGTGTCCTCCATAGAGCATAGGTTGCAGTGGCACTGCAGGGCCATTGGATAATGATACAGAGGGGAGATGTTGGGCAGGCAGCCCGGCAGTCGAGCCATCATGTGTCGGATGCGACTGTATGTGCAGACGCGGTGATGTCGGTGGATGTACGGGGGCTCAAGTATAGGTCTCTGCAGGTTCACAAACAGAAAACACATCATGGCATGTACAATGACTGCACTAACCCGTTAAATAAATATATAATAATAAAACATGTCACAAAATATAAACATATAATATTTATTTATATATAAATATATAATCAAAATATGAAATAATTGGCATGAAGTGAGGTTTCACAGAAAAAGTTATCTCACAGCACTAAACATAAATGTCACAGCTCCAGTGTGGGCAATAGATTTTATTTTTTTCAATAAATTATTCCAATCAATTCAAACCTTTACAATTATTTCCAGATTAAAGTCCAGAACCATTGAGTCTAGTTGTATCCATAAAACAGTGAGATTCAGTAAATCAGAAAGTCAATTAGTAGACAATTTCTAAAAAAAACACTATCTTAGCAGTCTAATTAAGTAAACAGAATACCTCATTTGTTAATATCAATATAGATATATCAATGTATATCTCTAAACTTATTTATTTTCAAGTAGGCCTATTCATCACTTGTAAGTGTTTAAAACATCTACAGTATTTGGATGAAACAGAACGTGGAAACACTTTGCCATAATCATATCTGTGCGTTCTTGTAACCAATCTTATGACTCAAACCCTAAAGTTAAATTAAAAACCTCAATTCATTTTCATAAGTTAAATAATTTATTTCAACAATAATATAAACATTTTTTTACAGAATTTAGAAACCAACCAATGCTGTTTGGCTGTGACACTTTTAACTTTACCTCCCAGGTGTAACAGCGCCCCCAGCAGGCCTCTGTGGTGACATGCAGCCCTTTGCAGCCAGGCTTCTGGGCCACAAAGGAGAACTCGCGCACTGCGCAGCCTCGGAAACTCTGGAGTGGCGTCATCATGGAGACGCACGGCACCGCTGCCATGGCAACAAGGTGAAAGAGTACTAATAGGGAGAGAGGATGGAGCCGCATGCTGGATATTATGGAAACACATAAAGAGAGTTAAAGCTGAGTAACCTTGATAGAATACATACACTTTCAACTTGTTGTTTGGTCAAGATGCCAAAATTAAGTAAAAAATAATTTATATTCCTTTTTTATTATCATAAAAATAAGAAAGCAATAGTTTATGACTGTAAATAAGTCCTTAGTTGCTAAAAAACAGCCCATTTATCCTCCTGTCTTTATGTAATTTTTAGACTAGAGATTTTAGGCCCCTTTTTACTTAAAAGAAAAAAAAAAGTTTATCAAAAAAGCAAATGACTCCTAACACTCTCTGGTGTTTGTCATTAAAAAACATTACTTTTAGACCACAACGTGCATCCTTAAGCATTAATATCTATTTAGTTGTAGAAATGGTCAGTATTACATGCAGGTAAGATAGTTTATTTCTCTTTTTTTTTTTTTTTTTTTACCTCATTCAAGATGTAGGGCTGCTTACTAATTCATGATGCTTTATTCATCAATGATATAAAATTTTGAGAAATACTTTTACCGAACTATATGACAATGTGCAGCAAAAAAAAAAAAAAGGTTACTTTTTAAAGATTACATCATAAAGTCATGTTAAGTGTCAGTTATTCAAGCTGGTCACGCAATTGTTAAGAATCAAACAATTAAATAAGCAACAGACTTAAATGGCTTAAATGTTTTCAAGAATTATAAGAGGCAGTGTAACTTTTGATACACATTTTCCCCTACCAAGATCTTGATTACTGAGAATCTACACAAGCATTATACATATGCAAATTCTAAATTCTAATCTTTAAGTATCATATAAAGAAAACTCACCTTCAAAGCTCCCAAACTGGTTGAGGTTTCAGCTGCCTGTGTCTCTCAGTCTGGACAGTTCACTAAATGGAACAAAGCTGTCCCTGCAGTTGTTCTCAGTAGGCCATTAGGTTGAGCGGACATGCTGACATCATAGCAAATCCAATGAAATACCATTAGAGTTCCCTAAATCATAAAAAAAACAGAGTTCCTGGAAAATACTTGTGATTGTCTATATTTTGTTAACCTCAGCCCGCGTCTGTCTGTGTGTTTTTGAGTGTGTGTGGGTGTTTTTCACATCTCTTGCTCAGTGTACTACTGTATGAGTTGAGGGTTGGCAGGACTGAACCTGACCCATGCAAACCAATGCATATGCACTGTTACATATAGTTGGATGTTTAAACCACTTATTTCACAGAAAGGAGGATTTTTACCAAAACAAAAACTTCTATGCTTCTATTAGTTAGAGGTTAATTATCAGCCATTGCTCAAGGAACAGGATAAAAAATTATTATTGCCATGGCTAAAGAGGGCTGATAACTACTAAAAGCAAAAGACTTTAAAGATAAGTGAAGAACATAGGGCTAGTATAGCTATTTCAATTGAATGAATGGACCAAAAAAAAGTAAACTGCAAGTATAAAAAGTAAGGCTGACAAGATGGCATTAGAACTATAATGATTTATATGTTTTTGAGGTGGTGGCACCAGTAAAAATACACAAAAAAGAGCTGGAGATGCCACAAATGAAGATGCTTTTATCAGCACCCACCAAAATGGAAAGGATTGGAAAAGAGTGTTTCAGAAAAATTTGTTTGGTTAAGTACTTTGAAAATAAAGTCAGGAGGTTAGGTTGATATGGCTTGGACATGTTACTGAAGGCGTGATTGCATAGAAAGGTCTCAGGGAGAGATGGAAGCAGAGTGTGATTCACTTCAGGGTGGCTGGCTGCCGGCGGAGCCCGCGGACCCGTCCCCGCGGCTCCCCGGGGCGCCGGTCAGAGATCCAAACACAAACTATAACAGGTCCAATAGTGTTCATGCAGACTCAGAGATTCAGGAGGCAGAATCAGGTCAGATTCAGGTAGGCAGAAAGGTAACAGGAGTTCTGGACTAAACTCCCCGATGGCTCACAACAATCTGGTACCTCTGACTGGTCTGAGAGTTGGATGTATAGTCGAAATGGCAGGTGAATTTGATGGAGGCTGATTGGAAACGAGGTGGAGCTGAAAGGTGTGTTGAATGATGCATTAGACCAGTGCTAGTGCCAGTAATCATGACACAGTTAGCTGCTGACTTATGGCAAAATGTTTATTTATGGTAGAGCAGGGGTACTTATCCCTCTCACTATGATCTTATAGAAATATTTAATAAATGGGTAACATGGATCCTTCAGCTAAAATACCACCAAAATCCCACCAATCCATTCTACAAGTATTTACAGACTGAATTACGGAGGCAGTTTGGATGTTATCATGGAAAAAGTGGTTTGTCATTGCACCCATGGAACCGGTCTCCTGCCTGCTCACTGGGGTTGCTGCATCGGGGACACTTTGGACAGCTCTGAGCCACGTCTCATTTGGCAGTCAAACGGCTGGATTCTGTCTTCCTGGTAAACCAGGTAAGTGACTCACTCTGATTATCATCTCCTGTCATTTGATTGTGGTCACTCACCTGTGTTTCTCCCTCCAGAGTGTCAGTGACTGGGCGGTGCCCCACCTCCCTCCTGCAGCCACTGCCGTCCACTTATTCTCAGCAGCCCGCGTCTAGTTATGTTTTATTATTTTTCTGTTATTAAAAAGTTTTGAAACTTCCCATTGTCTGATTCGCCTTGAATACTAGGTCCATTTGTCCTGTTTATGACATAATGACATCGACATTTTCTTCAATTGTCTCCTAATGGCCTCATATGTTGAATATAACATCTCACTGTGACACCTATGTTTCATTCCAGATTCCCCTCACAACCATCAACTTTCATCCTCACTTACTTTTAGGAATTTAGGTGTATGTATAGCTGAACCTCTATGACATTTAAATTTGATTCCATTTTCTGTTGATGATCTCATTTGTTGAACCTAATATCAGTTAGTATCAGGCATTAAAGTTTGATTCCAACTTACCTTAACCAAAGATATTTTATAACATCACACTTTTATTCCAAAGCCGCTAAATGACCTTAGATGTACAACCTAATATCAGCCTATGAATTCACAATTTTATTTCCATACCCTTGAAAAGCTTAGACTGTCCTCCTCATTTCCCTTTATGATTTTATATGTCAACATAGGAAAACTCTATCACATTTAACTTTAATTGCGATTTCCCTTTGTGACCTCATATGTTGTACCTAAGATTATTTTATGATATTAAACTTTGATTCCAACTTTCCCAAATGACCTCATGTGTTGAACATAACATCACTATATGATATTAAATATTCATTCCAATTTCTCTTGACAACCTTAATCTGTCCTCCTTATTTCCATCTATGACTTTGAATCCTAATCAGGGAATACATCTATGACATCATATATCCATCCCAATTTCCTTAATGACTTCATAACTCCACTCTAAGATCACTTTATGACATAAGACTTTCATTCCAATTTCCATAAATTACTCCATATGTTGATGAGAAGATCAGTGTATGGCAAAGGTTCCCAATCCTGTTGAACCCGTCAAGCACACCAGAAAAGGTTGGATGATTAGGAAGCTTCTGCAGTACTTGATTGAAGAGGAGGAGCCATAATTTAATCAGCTGATCCAACTTTCCTAATAGCCTCATATTTGGAATCAAAGATAATTTTATAACCTTTATTCCAAATTCCCTAAAATACCTCAGATGTTCAAGATAATATCAGCCTATGATATTAAATGTTTATTTCAACTGCCCTTGACAACCCTAGATTGTCATCTTCATTTCCCTTTATGATTTTAGATGTCTTCATGGGATAAACTCTATGACATTTAGCTTTACTTTGGATTTCCCTTGATGACCTCATATGTTGAAGTTAAAATTAGCCTATGACATCAAACTTTGTTTCCAGTTTATATTAATAAATGTAAAATCATATTATGACTTCAAACTTTCAGTCTTGTTCTGGTGTTCTATACCTTTTAGGTGTGGCTCTGCTTCCAAACAATCCAGTGGCTGAATTACGTGGTCAGCATGCAGTCAAGTTTAACCTCAGAGTCCTGCCTATAACCTGACTGTTTGACTCAGGTGTGTTGAAGAGAATCCCCTAAAAGATGCAGAAAACTGGACCTGAAGGCCCTGGAAATCAGAAAGCCTTTTTAGATGTTACTTTTGGATGAACTATTTAACTTCAGTTTTTCTTTATGTCCTCAGAGATTAGTTCTGACATTAACCATTGACATATAGTCTTGATCGTAATTACGTTTTTAGTATCAAACTTTAATTTGGTTTCTCTTTCTGACCCCAGATGTCAGTCTTGCATTGACTGCTTGACATTAAACTTCAAATTAAGTCTGTTTTATGTTTTAACTGTTATGAATGCAATGCGTGATGTTTGAACACTATTGACCCTCCCCTGTTCCAGAGAGCCACAGCGGCCAGCACTACATGTAGTCGTCAGCACTACATCCTTGTCATTCGTGACCTCACCAGATCGATTAGAGCTCTGGAGATGAACATAGTGGAAATAGAACATCTAAATGTGTCCGCCGGAAATCACGAGCACATTGAAGCTCTCAAATCCAAACGGCCATATTTTTCAAGCCTGTTAAATTCTAAGGTCTAATGGTTGTTACTCAGGATGGATGCTCACTCTACAGGAGATTATTTTTCAGCTTTGAGAGAAAACATGGGCAGAGGTGATCCACTCTCTGTCTTATACTAGATAGCAGCTGAGTAACCAGGCCAGATGAGGAGGAGAGCTGTGGAGTTTTACTCTTCTCTGTCTGAGAGTGAGTATAGTGAGTATAGTGAGAATGAAGAGCTGCTTGGACAGTTCTGTAATGAGTTATCTGACCATTTGAATTGAGAAAGCTTCCTGGAGAGGTAGCGAAACGTCTTCAAATCTTGGAAACCAAGTCCAGTGGATTTTTTATTTATTTTTACGGAATGACTATGACCTGGATGACTGAGAACCTTTATCAGCATTATCTGAGGGTCTTTTTCACAAAGCACTATCAACAAACTCGGAGACAAATTGAATAAAATTTGAGTTTTTGGTTTCCTA